ATGTGATCAATGAATCTTGCACGGTAGTACCAGAAGTACAGCGCGAGAAATTAGCGGTACAAGTGCTCATCTGCTCATTTATACCGAGAGCTAAAAATTACCTGTGTTTTCTCGATAGCCAACAACCTGTTGTCCATTTCTCCAACTGTCTCACGAGTGGTCGCCTCTTTCGAGGCAAGATCATTGAGTCGATTCAGGATTATATCAGTTCTGAAAATGTTTGACTCCTGAATTTGACCTGGAGCTATTTCTAGAAGTCCGACCACAAACACACCTCTCAGCAGTTCGCTGTATGCGCTCCTCATTGCTAGTTCTTTTTCGCATTTCTTTATCCCTCGCCAAATCATCCATACAATCTTCTTCAAAGTCGTGCAACTTCTCCACTTGATCGGCGTTCAGGAATAACTCTGAAAGAGTCAAGTTAAATAAGGCCTTATGAAAATGATTTCAAAATTTCCAGGAGAAGTCAAAAGTAAACAACTACTCACTGAGGCTAAAGTCGAACATTTTCTTCTGCCGACTTCCATCAGGATCCTTTTCGTAAAACGCCGAGAGCTTCATTCTGATATACTTAATGGCTAAGCCTGCATGCGAGAGTGGAGTGAATGGAGGGGGCACGAAAGGTGTGCTCTCATATTCCATCACCTATGAAGTTATCATTTTTATCAGAATTATCAACCACAACCAATCAAAAATAGCTTTTTTGGTGAAAATTGATCACAAAAGAGGCTTACCTGACGGTACCGTTGAAACAGCCAAATCTGTTGAGCTATTTCATCAGTTTGGTCGAAAATATTGCTAAAAAGAGACCCATTAAGACCCAATTACGGGAACGAATACTTCGTATTATACTCGACTGATCGACAAAGATAACACTCACTTGAATATTGCAATCAACATGCTCATCAAGAGAATATTGGCGACCAGTAGGAAGAAAGTCATTAGAACCGGTGGAATCCAATAACCAGGAACGCAGGTGCTTCCATATGTGCTGTTGGTTATAGGTACACCTTTTTCCAAATGAGAGTCCCATGCTGAAATTTCTATTTTCCGGAACCTCATCAATAAGTAGGAGAATGGGCTACACTCCTTTCTTTCTCTGCACCAGATATGGTTTCTCCGTGGAAATGTGTATTTATAAATGGTAATTAAACTGCCAAATTATATTTCAAAACACTCATTCAAGCGGAGATGGTGTAGTGACAGGAGGGGCCGCTACCGCGCGCATGGTCCCTGGATCAAATCCCAGGTCAAGTCCAGCGTGCGCAGCCAAATTTCTATAGATGATCAGTTGTTGCTAGGAGCTATAGTTACTGTGCAAAACACATCGATAACCTGATTTTGGAAAGTCGTAGTCTATGGGTTATCGAGGCTGAAATTGCAACTCTACCGAGAGTTTCTACTGTTTATCAGAATTCCTACTGATCTTCGCTTCTTGAAAGAAGAAAAGTCTCATTCCAAACGCTTTTTAAGAACGAATTCACGAGGAAGACAACCTTCCAAACTAACTTAGAAACCTTAGGGAATGGGAGTGGTACACGAAAAAGGAAGAACCATGAGAAACGGCCCAGAACCCGAGAAATGGGACCCCTTCCTTGCCCGTTGATTTGAGCATTGATGCGACTATCATCGCTGTGCCCTCTTCAACGCTACGCTCTCTCACCTATCTAATCACTCACCACGTATAGACCTGCGGCGAGTGATCAGATGATCGGTGGGCGTGCACTGACCAGCCGCGGCGGGATTAAACCTTAATAGGTCAACGAGGTCAACTCCTCCTGTGCAAATTGTGCTTCAGTTCGCACACTTAGGAGCTCCGCGGGTCCCTCAACCAGGTGAATTCTTCCTAATTCGATTTTCCCTCTGATCGTGAATTCGTCCTTTAATACAACAATGAAAACTACTTCAGACCAATCAAATTCAAAGAAAGGCGTCCAGACTGGTTGACATTTTCACTCATATGCGGCCGAGAATTCTACGCTCCTCATGCAGTGTTGGGCCGTGGTGAACCTCAGTGATGGGATCAACCGAAGCACTAGACTTCCAGAGATGCTTATCATCAGGAATTATTTATGGGGTTCCGCGAACATGTACACGGAGTTGAGACACGCATGCGCCAGCCAGCATCGCATGATGTCACGCACCCGAGTTTCCATTCACTCGATTTCACGTATCTTTCAGCTGCAATTCCACTTGCATCTGCAGTTTCGTACTTTGCTTATACCACTGCTTCACAACGCAAACTTCGAATGCTCTCCCCACTATGCTATTTAAACTACAATACCGCCCCTAATTTTTGTTCAATCGACGAAATGTGATACAACTTTCCGTAGCAAACCGTCGTTTTGCTGTAACTTATGAAAATATGGCGCAAATGCTATAAAATTATACCATCGGATAGCACTGGTCATGACGAATCTAAAGATATAGCGAACTCCTCAATTTCCTCGAAACCTTCGGCCTTATTTTCAAGGAAACGAGCGATTGAGTCTCTTCTTGCCAATAGCAGTACCTGCGGTCATAACACCATTGCAAACCCTCCTAGTTCGACTAGGAAATTCAAAACATGTATTCCGAAGCTGGAAATGTGAACATTTTCGTAAACAGCTTGCATTCGCGATCATTTTGGTACCAATCTTAACGGGATTTCAACAAATTTCAATTGTAATTTTAAGTTTTAGTCTCCACTCTCTTCGGGATGTGACGATTATTCGAGGCCGTTGAACCCTTGTACACGAAACTGAAATCTAGACATCTCTGCTCAATTACGTATAGTTTTAAAAGTTTGTCGACGTCAGTCCTGCCCAAAAACGGTCCCTCGATGGATGACCTCCTCTAATTACGTCGACTAACTGGCCACTGGACTGGATCGATCTGGTCCTGTAGTTATACTGGGTCGCTTACCCCATGCATCCTGACGGTTGAGATTCACACAGTGATGTGCCAGAAATCCATTCGGTTTACCTGTTACTTAACTATGAAACCATTATGAACGATTCAGCTTTTAATGGTGTTGCTTGATTATCAGGCGGCAGTCAGAATAAGCTGACTTTTAAAGTTTTTGGGAATAGTTTCGAATTTAATTCCATAAACAGGTCTTATAGGTGAAATCTGAAATACCCCTCGTATGTGCTTAGGCCACGAATGCAGTCCCCACTCGCTACGAACGAGCTGGCAAAATTGAGAACAGGCGCCGCGCATTGTAGTACTTCCATGCAGGATCGTAGCGGTATTTGAATGCGAGTTGGCCTATACAACTTGCAGAGGTTAGCCGATGTACAAGTCAGTGTTTCTGTCCTCCTGGACAAGTTTGATGCCAATCCACTGGCCAGTGATGAAAGGCCCGGTTGACCCGGTCGCCGTAGAGCCCAGTTTTTGATTCCAGGACATTCGCTGTCGTTGGGCAATTAAGTTGGAAAATACTGGATTGAGAATCCTAATTACTGGATCATGGAGGATATAAACGAAGTCAGATTCAACCAGGGATCCGAACTGAGTCAAGATACCAAAATAAAATAATAACTAAAGCCCAGTAGATCTTCAAAAGCAAAATCCCGTGGGACTCAACTCACTTGAAGTTTCACGCAAAGTGTGTCCCTTAAAGGGGTTACGAAGAATTTATGAGATTAGCGAAATATTGTGCAAAGTGTGGGACTCTTCGAAAAGATGGAGCCCATTTCAGTGTTTCAAAATGCGTTGAGTTTCTTTCTTCCCCCCATAGATAGAGATAGAGATTCTACCTGAAGAATCAGAATGCTCCTGAGTTTTAGGATTACCAATGAACATAATCGATTTGTTCAATTGACGCTAAATAACAGCTGAAGAAATTGGGGAGAATAATCATAAGGCTTTATATAAAGTAGATTTTGGCACTTCACTATGTGCATCTTAACCGGATGCATGCGGTAAGCGATCCAGTATGAACGGACCAGATCGATCCCAGTGGCCAGTTGCCAAGTCGACGTAATTAGAGGAGGTCATCCATCGAGGGACCGTTTTTGGGCAGGACTGACGTCGACAAACTTTTAAAACTATACGTAATTGAGCAGAGATGTCTAGATTTCAGTTTCGTGGACAAGGGTTCAACGGCCTCGAATAATCGTCACATCCCGAGGAGAGTAGCCACAAAAACTTAAAATTACAATTGAAATTTGTTGAAATCCCGTTAAGATTGGTACCAAAATGATCGCGAATGCAAGCTGTTTACGAAAATGTTCACATTTCCAGCTTCGGAATACATGTTTTGAATTTCCTAGTCGAACTAGAGGGTTTGCAATGGTGTTATGACCGCAGGTACTGCTATTGGCAAGAAGAGACTCAATCGCTCGTTTCCTTGAAAACAAGGCCGAAGGTTTCGAGGAAATCGGGAGTTCGCTACATCTTTAGATTCGTCATGACCAGTGCTATCCGATGGATATAAATTTTATAGCATTTGCGCCATATTTTCATAAGTTACAGCAAAACGACGGTTTGCTACGGAAAGTTGTATCACATTTCGTCGATTGAACAAAAATTAGGGGCGGTATTGTATACTTGGGACCAAAAGGAACAATTAGCCCTCAAAAAGTTCCTCTGAGCAGCGAGAGTTGACAGGCTGGAGATCAGTGAATGTTTCATTTCCAAGTCCCTAACCGACAAAGAAAAAAAATTGGAGTTCAGAGCATCTTCCATAGATCGAATTTGTGGGGTCACAGCGGTCGACAATAGTTGTGGATGCCGTACAGACTAAAATGAAAAAGAAGCAAAGAAAACCGTCGATGAAGCCCTAAACAAGGATTCCCCTGAAATAAGGAAGGGGCGGGGCCAGACGAGTTGTACGAACTTGCCTGCTCCACGGCTCAACTAACCCGCGCGTATTTGAATTAGCCGCTACGCCGTAATCCACGTTGCGTGTCATGGGGTGCGCGACGTAACTCGTCCAAATGCTAAGATTAGTCGCCAAAAGCTGACTTTGTAAGACCCTAGCGCCATTGTCGCGCACTTTCGAGCCGCGACAACGGCACATCTGTGCTACTCGTGGGCTACTCTATCCCACCCATCAATGGATTCTTCGACACGACTTCTGCTGGGGGTGTTGCTTTAAACTTAGCCAGTGGGCGAAACTGGCCCTATTTTAAAACCTCTAAAGTAATCGAAATGGGAACAAACCACACCTTCATCTCCACATGTGTCAATTTCATCAGCATACACCTCACCGTAAAGCATGAAATACGGCTTATAAAAAACATTGCGAACCTGAAAAACCCTTTGAATATTCAGAAAATCGAGAACACCTACGGTTCAATGAAAGTCTACTTACCAGTAACCAATGCCAGTCTTCATTAGGATATGTTATCGACTGTCGTGCAAGTCCAAATGCCAATAACGATACTACCAACATGACTATTATATACGACATATTCAATATCTGCAAGTAAGAGATTTTTTCTTTGACCCATCAGAAACGAGATTTCTACTTCCCGTAATAACGAGCTGTAAAAAAGAAATTAGACATTAGAGCTATAAAAATTATAGTAAAGATCAGGCACCATAGGCAGTGATCACAATGGCTGAAAGGCGGTGCGGTTTTGATGACGTCACTGGACGTCAGTGGTGGTAGTCCCAACCACAGTCTCTTAGCACATTCCCCACCATGATGTTTACCCCGCACCAAAACTCAAAGCCCTCCAGCTCATCGAACCATTGTGTCAAGAGATATCGTTATTCTGGTAGTGCAGACTTCAAAATAGGTAATAAGAGAAAAACGAAAGATGTAAACCAAGACTTTGAATTCCATAAAGTAATCGGAAAAAGAGAATTCCGCAAAAGTTTTTCCAAGTAACTATAGTAGTATTCACAGACGAATTGTTAGGCTATGTCAACAGTTGATGCCGTAAAGCCAACAAACATTCTCCTTACAGTGTTCTGGATGAGGAAATCAAGCCCAAAAATGTTCTTTTCTGGATACATGACTCTGGACCCGAACAGGGAGTCCATCATCGCGGCGAGACGCAGAACGCACCTGGTCAGCAGTTAGTCCGTTGTGCATATGTGGGACGTAAAATTATACCATTCTAATAACTTGACGCGAAATCGCTACAGTACGCGCTGCGACTCGTCGCTGACCGTCTGCGTCAGTGTTTTTCGCCGCGAGGCGGGCTTCCTGTCGGCTACCCGAAGCTTCTTATTCTTTGGTCCACTTGAAAGTGTAAGCGAGAAAGTGGTGCAGAGGTTCTTGCGGTGAAGAAAGCTTTTCCAAAGCTTTTCTCCCATATCCGAAACTTGAACAGGGCTCTAGCTTAATATTTTCTTCAATAACAGAAGCATAGTGCATGCTATAAAATGTGAAACTCTATCAAAAAACACATACTAACCATTTTTCCTGCCATTGTAATGTATGGTCCAAGTCCGTGGATGTACACTCATATAGTCGAGCAATTTCATTGTCCAAAGCACTGAATTACAAGCGAGGATTACTCGCCCCGTTTCTATCACACTGAAATGTACACAGGTTATGTTAATTGGACGAAGTTGAACGGAAGGCATTGAGCTTAAGGAGCACAAAACAAACCCAAAAGTTCGCATAGCAAAACCAATAATGAACGATATGACGGCTGCTGTGGTGACGGTGTTCCAGTAATTAAAGAAGAAATACTTGAGTTTTTGACCCAGCGGTTGCATCTCGACATAAGGAACTGCAAAAATAGCAATACTATTTATTCGTTAAGCATTTACAGCTGCACTGTTTCCCCAGTCCACAGATGATTCAGTAACACATTTTCCCTAGAAAGTAGTTGAAGGCCAAGGCCGCAGAACACCTCGAACACTCAATTGCTGAACATCATTGTGTAGAATTTGACCCATAGTACACAAATATCGCATTATTAGCATTAGCAGCAGGTGAGTTTGTAGCCTGTGCTACGGAAGCCGGCGCAAAATTTGCGATTGCGCCAGCCCTGTGACGTGGGTGCCAAGCGTTTTGCGCTAAACTGATGTGATATTCGTGTTCTCCGGGTTGAAAACCGCTAGAGACAACTTTCCAGCCACGTCCTTGATCATAGACAAATTTCGATTGAAATCCGGCTCAGGGGCCTTATGCTAAGTGGCTTGAGGATGGAAAAATTGTTGGTAGCTCGCCGCAGGCACCCTTCACACGGTCGCACCTTTGATTTTGCAGCTTTGTTTCCATTTGTTTCCACTGTTCCTGATTGTAATATTCGCGCTTGTCAATACCTTCTTCATCCAAAAAACAGCAATGAAAGAATGGAAACAAACTACAAAATCAAAGGCGCGGCCGTTGCCCAGTGGGTCTGCGACAAACCTCTCTAACCTTTCCCTATCCTCTATCCCCTCCCCAACATTCAGCATACGGCCAGGTTTCGAGGAGTGAGTGGGTCAGTAAAGCGTAGGAAATGGGTTATGGGTTATACCATAGACAGTAAGTAAACCGAAAAGAAGATTAACTGGTTCAAACAGGCCCTTACTACACTCCCACTTATCTTGCAGCACAATGCGATGATACCTTGTCGCTCAACATTCTGCACTTCTGCTTAGGGAGTTTTTTTCAAGAGGGAGTGCGCAGATGTGCAATGGCAGAAGATCTCCTGAGGTCACTTAGGTTCAAAAGAAGGGAATCATCATTTGTGACAACTCAGCCTTAAGTGATCATACTCCAGATTAAGTGTAATGTTATCCTTGTAACGAAAGTGAGCGCATCCGATGCTGGCGGCTCTACCTTCTCGATGACCACTAGATATTTCCGGTACTCATCAACCAATCAACTACTGATCGCTTATCAGCATGATCAATGAAGGCCTAATCATAGTAGCCCCCACATCGCTGGAGTTTGGTCGATGGCCATTACATGCATAAAACATCATTCCCCAAGATCATCGAAGCGGTAGAATTTGCTAGGAGCTAAACGAATATAGATGGAAGCAGTTTTTCCTAAAATGGAATTACAGGGTGGGGCTTTAATATAGGATTGAAGAAAAAAGGATTAAACTTTAAAAAATGCAGTTACGTAACTAGGAGCACGGCTTTTGACTGGATCATCAGATTCTCCATACTTTACATTTAACACTATGGTACTGAAGGATTTCCCGGCTCATTCCCTGCAGGTGAATTCTTCCGAGATCTACCGTAACCGAAGTATGTATGCATAGTCGGACTGTCATACGACTCCCTAGCAGGGTCAACCGTCCGTTCGTACTAGTCGAAGTAGGGAGTCGCATCTCTGATTTCGAAAAGGAGGGTACATTTTGAGGTTGAG